GCGGGCCGGGCGGAGGGCCTTCGGGGTCGGGCCCCGCGCTGCCCTCTTTCCTTTGGGCCTCGGGCAGACCATCCCTCTGCTTTCCATCGCGAGTTCGATAACCTTCTCTCGGTTGTCGGTGAAATCACTTTCAAACTTGAACATCACTTGGTCCAACAACCGGGCACTTTTGGAGCCTATGCGCTTTTCCCTGTAAACATAGAGGAAGGCTTTAAAGTTGATGCTAAGACTAAAGGACAATACCTTTCTTCCCAAAGGTAGACGGAGGCCGGATGAGTCGGCATTTTAACCTGCTCCTACAGGGCTGTTACTGTGTTGTAGGGTACCCCACGTACCCACAACTGTAACTCACCACCGCCCGCCATGGGACTGAAACCCTTCAGAAGTAAGGGAAATCACTAAGGGTGCAGACTCCCTAAACGCTATCCAGCTGCTCCGTATAACATTGGAGACATACTGTACTTCATAGTGTATCGAGTTTTATTTGTAGCCGTTTTTTCTCATTACTCTATGCATTTGATAGAAAAAGCATAAACTAGATCCAATAATCAAGGTATGATTCTCACAGCTGAACCAGACTAAGTAGCAACTACTGAAGCTCTTCACTACTTTTTGTTACTTCCTCTACTTCTTAGCTCTATCTTGGATAATATCTCAAAGTAAGCATCTTTGATGCAGGTATATGAAATTATAACCTTATTTTATATCTCCACACCAAGTAACTTAAGTAAGTTGAAAATATGTTTAACTTGCTTAACTGTATTCCCTGTTTATGCATTTGTAGTATCAAAGAAACAAGATTTTAAAATTTTGTCTGCATTTATCCTATCTAAATATCAATAATAAATATTGAAGTGAAGATAATGATGGCTGTATATTCTTCCCCCAAGAAACTTTTAAGTACTGTACAGTGTTTTATATTAGGTAAAATTGATTTCTGTGTCTTAAGTGTCTTTAGTACATTGTAGACTATTTTAGAAGCTGTATGAACGTTGTGTGGCTACCATTCTTCACTGATTCTCTCTGATTTTTCAGACAGACCAAAATTGCCTGATAACTACACGCAGGATACATGGCAGAAGCTTCATGAGGCTGTGAAAGCCATACAGAGTAGCACATCCATTAAATACAACCTTGAAGAGCTCTATCAGGTGAGGGTACAAATGAGGGAGAAAATAGTTTGTTATAAATGCAGAATTTTTATTGTCCTGGAGAAGTTCAAAACTTGATTAGCTCGCCATCTTGTCTCTTTGATTAGCTGACTACTTTTATCATTGTTTTTAATTAGCACATTGATCCATGTCCTGCAAAGTGTAATGCAGAGTGCTTGTACAGTCCACCTTAAGAGTCTTTGTTGAAATAAATGTAAATTCAGACTCTCTCATAATTTTCACCTCAAACAAGAGCCCTGTGAAAGTATGCCCAAGAATGTTTTTGTTTATTGGTTCTTAAACTTTTATTTTGTCTTCCAAGTTTAAGCTTCCTGGAAAGGTATTTTTGTTATCCTTCTACAGGAATGTGGAAGGATGTTTCTAAGAGCCATACACTTATATTTTCCAACTATGTAGCAAATTATTCCGCTGCTAATGTTGGGTATAAAATTCATTTTGCTAGACTTGCTCTTAGAGATGTTTTGTTTCTATGTATTTTGTGATTGCTACTTTTAAGATGTGCAAGTAAATGTTAAGTTTATTGTGGAGTAATGAAATTCCTTCATTGGGTAGAAAAATGATGAAAACATTCTATTTAAATGTTTTATTTCTGGGTTTTCCCCACGATTTTTAAAATAACTTTAATTAATCTAGTAACTACATTTAATGATAATCAGTTATTTTCATTAAAAAGATTTGCATTATAAAAAGTCTAGAAAATGCCCCAAAGAAGTAAATTGCCTGTGCTGTCACCACTTTTAGAAATTGACAACTGACATCTTGATGCGCGTACTGTTTTCCATTGCCTTTTTTGCGATGTAGTTTACATAGCATGAGATTTTCCACTAGTGTTCCTACTTCAATAAGTTATCCAATACATACAGTTGTATAACCACCACCACAATCAAGGTGCAGAATATTTCCAGCCACAAAAAGTTCCCTGAAGCCCTGTTAAATTCCATTCCCTCCACTGATACCAGCCTTGGCAAACTATTGCCGATTTTTACTACATAAATATCTCATCTGAATGGATTTAAACTTATTTATAATCCTTTGTATCTGGCCTCTTCCATTTAGAATACTGCTTTGTTGGTACATTAACATTATGTGATAATCACCTGTTTCTTTTCATTGGTCAGTAATATTTCTCTGGATATACCATAATTGGTTTATTTATTCACTACTTAATGGATATTGGTTTCCAGTTTTTAGCTGCTTACTATTAACCCTAGCAAATAAGTCTTTGTGTCAGCATATACTTTTATTCTTCTTGGGTAAAAAACATGGAAATGGGATCACAAGGGTCATAGGGAAAGTATATTATCAGAAATTTCCTGTGGATCATTTTGCATTCTGTGAGCAGTATATAAGAGTACCAATTGCTCTGTATCTTTGCCAACATTTGGATTGTCAGTCTTAAAATTTTACTTATTCAAAACTGTATAGTATAATCTCATTGTGGTTATAATTTGCATTTTCTAATGACTAATGATACTAAGCATCTTTCATATGCTTATTTGCCATCCATATAGCTTATAGATAAATATCTCTTTAAATCTTTTACCCACTTTTTATTCTTAATTTTGAATTTTGAGACTTCTTTATATATTCTAGGTACATATGGCTATTGAATTAATTTTGGCCCATAGTAATAATACAGGACGGAGTGGACCAGCCCCTATAGACTTTCCAAGACCAAAGCCAAGCAGCTGGTAGGGTTTACCCACCCACTGTTCAGTTAGCAAACGAGCGCTTTAACACCTACTCCACCAGGACTTCGTACATTCTAGTTACAGTTCTTATATCAGGTATTTGCCTGGAAAGATTTTCTACCAGTGTGTGGCTTGTTGGGGGGTTATCTTACCAGTATCTTTTAAAGAGCAGTCTTTTATTATTGTAAGTCAATTTCTACTTTTATGGTTTGTGCTTTTAGTGTCTAGAAATCTTTGCCATATTTCAAGGTCACAAAGATTTTTGTGTATTTTTCCCCAACATGTTAAGTTTTGGACTCCAATGTAATGTGACTTTAATATCCAATGTAAGATAGAGATTCATGTTTCGTTTTTCTTGTGTAGCTAATTGTTACAGTACCACTTATTAGAAAGGGACTACCCTTTCCTACTGAACTGCCTTTGTGCCTTTGTCAGAACTCAGTGTCCATAAATGTCTGTGTCTGATTAAGTCTTGAAATCAGATAATGCTGGTTCTCAGCTTTACTCTTTTTCAGAATTCTGTTGTTATTGTTAACTACTGTCAAGTCAGCCCCTAGCTAATGGCAACCACATGTTACCAGAGTAGCACTCTACTTGATAGGATTTTCAGTGGGATTAGAGCACAAGGCCTTTTTTCATAGTCCTTGTTAGTCTGGAAGTTCCACTGAAAACTGTTCAGCCTCCAGTTACAAATGAAGTTATGACTAGATCTGAGGTATATTGGTCAGGATTATCTCATGTAAGGAAGATGAAACTTCTACCACTGAACCTTCAATGCTCTCTTTGACTATTCTAGGTTCTTTGTATTACTGTCTGAATTTTGGAAGCTATTTGCCAGTTACTACCCAAAAAAGCCTACTGGGATTTTAACTGAGATTGTTGTGTCTGAGGTCACTGTGGGGAGGATGAGTGCCTTAACAATATTGATTCCGTTGATCCGTGAATAAAGTATCTCTCTCTTAACGTGAAAATTTTTTTCTTTCATCATCATTTTCTTGTTTTAGTGTACAGGTCTTAGACCAGGGTGAGTGAACGGCATAGGCACTGTATCTGACCTCTGACTTCCATATTGTCAGAAGGCAGAGGTCAAATATGCCGACACCACCTTACTTATTCTGACAACTGTACTTCCTACAGCACTCTACTTCTATGCTGGGTTCCATAATTTGTTGCAATGGCCACTTACTCACATGCGATGCAATTAAGAGAGGGGTTTATTAGAGAAGGTGACAGATGACCACAAGTCAGGATCAGAAAACATTAAGGATATGATCATTGGTCCACAACACTTCTCTGCACCACCAGCCAAGTCTTTCTCGGGTCCTCAGCCATCTGGTTCCATGGGCCCCATGCCACAGCCTCTGGTGCCTCTGGTTTCAGTCTCTGCCACTTTAGGCAGACATCTTGAATGTGCCCCACTGGTCACTCTTCGTCCTTGATGGTTCTGGGATTTCTCTCTGCTTCCAAGATTGGTCTTATACAAAAAGGAATGGCTTTGATAGAGGTGTGTTTTTTGTCTTCCAACAGACCATCTCTTAAAAAAATAATCCCAAAATGACTTAGTTCACCCCTTCTAGCAAATATAGAATACACCCCACCTTAATCCTGTCCATTGGCGTAACAGAAAACTCCCTCCAATTTTGAGAATGGTGATGGCAACAAATGTACAAATCGGGGCAGGTCCATGGGTGCTGGAGCAGCCGTGTGGAGACCCCTGCCGGCACTGAGATGCTTACACCTTTACTGATTTGGCTTTCCTCCTGCAGTCGGCCTCATAGTGTGTGTTGTGAGATGGAGGAGGACTTTGTGGATTGGTGTTGGACATGTGGGTTAATGTTGGACTTGTAGACTTGGGCAGCACTGGGTTAGGATGTTTTCTTGATGCGCACTTAATCTTTACATAAAATTCTCTATCATACATGAGTTTCTGTGGATTTGTTTCTCTGAAGTGCCCAGACTAATACAACATCACATAAGGGATTATGGCTAGAAGATGTAATTGATTACATCTCAGAAGGACTTCAAAAAGTTCATAGAAAAATGCCATTAAAGAAGATCGAAATTTTTCATTAACCTTTGAAGCACCTTCATGCATCCTTTAATGACATTTGTTCCCAAATGTTTCAGTTTTTTAACGCATATAAATTTTTTGATTAAATTTCTCATTGTCAGTATATAGAAATTCATGGTTTTTGCATGCCCCTCTTGTATCCAGTTACCGTACCTTGCTAAAACACACATTGTTATTTATAGTATTTTTTTAGATTTCATTGGATACTCTGCCTAGGCAGTCGTGTTATCTCTGGCTGTGGTTATCATTCCTTGTGCTGGTTTACTGTGTGGAATATCTAGAGAGAGCAGTTGTGAAAGTGGATATCAGTAGCTGTTGTCTATTGAGTTATGGAAGTTTCCTTCCATTCCTAGCTTTACTGAGAATTTCTATCAGAAATAAGTGATGGATTTTATCAAATGCCTTTTCTGTGCCTATTGAGTTAATTGTGTGATTTTGAGTTTTCAGTTTATTAAATGAATTATCATTGATTTTCAAATATTAAGACTAATGAATAAGCCCAATCTTAGCATTGCTATGTAGCATAAATCCTACATTGGGGGCATTATGTTTTTTATAGAGTTTTAGATTCTATTTGCTGTCTTGGTTAAATTTTATATTTATGATCATGAATTAAGCTGGTGCGTAGTTATCTTGTCTTGTGTTTGTGCAGTTTTGGTATCGGAGGAAGACTGGCATCCAACTAGTTGGAAAATATTCCCTCCTTCAGTTTTCTAGAAGAGTTTATTTATTTATTTTACTCGTTTTATTAGGGGCTCATACAACTCTTATCACAATCCACACACACATCAATTGTGTAAATCACATTTGTACATTCATTGCCCACATCATTCTCAAAACATCTGCTCTCCACTTAAGCCCCTGGCATCAGCTCCTCACTTTTTCCCCTCCTTCCCCACACCCCCCTCCCTCATGAATCCTTGATAATTTATAAATTATTATTTTGTCATATCTTGCCCTGTCCGACATCTCCCTTCACCCACCTTTCAGTTGTCCGTTCCCCAGGGAGAAGGTCACATATAAATCCCTGTAATTGGTTCCCCCTTTCCAACCCACCCTCCCGCTATACTCCCAGCATCGCCACACACACCACTGATCCTGAAAGGATCACCCATCCTGGATTCCCTGTTTTCCAGTTCCCATATGTACCAGTGTACATCCCCTGGTCTAGCCATATTTGTAAGAACTGGGATCATGATCGTAGGGGCGGGGAGGAA